CCTACGTGATGAAAAATGCTTTCGGGCCACTCGTCGTCTAGTTCACCAAGCTACCACCTTCATTCAAAGACCCAGCTGCCCAACAAAGCCTCTATACTCTAGCTACTCAAGTAGGCCCACTCCATCTGTGAGCTACAAAGTTATCTGACATCTGTGTGCATTCCTTGAACCAGTGGACTGGGACCTTAGATTGCCTTGCACCCGTGTGATGTTAGTGTCATGCTAGTCGTGTTCTCGTGTTTCTCTCACATCCCGCCTGGGTGATGCTCACCAAATCCTGTCGCCCATGCCGCGACAGCGCGGTGACGCTCACGCCATCCTCGGCGAACTCGGCGGGTCGCGCTATAGGGAAGGTCGCGCGGTTTAACCCCAACATACCCCAACACAACGGCGGGCAGTGAGGTCCAAAAGAAAAACCAAAGGAAGACGCCACTGAACTACCGAGCTGCGGAAGGCCTCCTTGAGGAGGTCCATGTGAGGTCCATGGGGAGTCCACCTGATTGCGTCGACTGAGTCGGAGGCGTCGGTTTTGTTTAACATTGTCCTGCAGGTCGTTCCAACATTTCCCCGCACTCAGTGCGTTGTTGGTGAAAAGAACGTCCTCAAGATGCACCCATTTTGCAGCCCATGGAGGCCGAAGCTGCCTCGCTCTTGGCCAGTGGACTGCCCTCGTGCTTAGAGAAGCCACCATGGCCACTTCTCCTCCGTCAGCGGCCATGGCTCAGTTGGTGACTGACTCTGTCAGCGCAGCTCATGTGCACAGTCTGCTTGTGCAGCTCATGGGCTGGGTGTTGCTTCACTGGCGCTTCCTACCCTCGAACGTGACGGTGCGTGCGCCCTCAACTTGTGTCCTTTCCAGCTGAACTGCGCCCAGTCTGAGTGATTGAGCTTACTTAGATAGAGAGAGAGAGAGATATCTATATATATAGAGAAAGAGAGAGAGATAATGTGTTAGATTGCTCTAGATTGTGCAGCAGTAATTAAAACAAACTATATTGTATGTGCACGGATTGCGTACTTATCATATTACCCTGCTATAATATGCAAGCTCATGTGGAGACCTTGGCAGTGAACTTGCCTGGGCCTTGTGAGCAGAACCAAGCCTTATGAACAGATTGATTGGTCATGGCATGTCACAGCTTTCACGGCTCCTGCTTTAGGAATCCATCAATCTGGGCTTGGCTTGGCTTGTCCCAGAACGTGCTTCAGCCTGTCCCTGCTTCTCCAACGGGCACCCCCCCCGGGCAAACTTTCAGACTTCAAGATCTTCTCCAGAACCAGAACCAGATGAACCAGATGAACCCAGAGGCAGAACGAACCGGAACCAGAACGAACCCAGAGGCATCCAGCCGAACCCGGCTGGAACTCCTTCCGGCCACCCACCATGGCAGGCCATGGGTCCGTGGGGGTCGAGGTTTCCGCCGCCTCTTCGGTCTCTGCTTGAGCCTTCCAGGCCTCCCTGTCCCGTTGCTGCTGCAGGCCTGAGATGGAGAGAGCCCCAAATTCTTGCCCACCGTGTGGTAGGGGAGCCAAGCACTTCTTTCCACATGCCAAGGGGACTCATTGCTCCCTACTCGCTTCGTTGGTGTCAGCAGTAGGACTCTTCGCACTCCTGAGCCAGCTGCTGTCAGCATGGACCTCTCTGGCTGGGACAACAAGGTATGAGCAGGCTGTGGAACTTCTTTCATTGTCCTTGTGTGATATATATATATATATATTACTAAAGAATATATATATATATCATAGAGTTTTCCGCTAATTCTTATATATATAGTCCGTTCTTCTGCTGCTATCTTCGTGCAGTCTCACGTAGTACTTCGTTGCACTTCCTTTCTGTACATTCTTTCAGTGGTTTCACACCAAAAATGAGCAAAGGGTTCACCGGTGGCGCGTTCAATCTTGAAGTTCAAACAGGTACCCAAGTTTCGTCTGAGGGTCTACCAGGGTCCCGAAGCTTTGACCATTGCAGCATTCCTTCTCTAGGTATCCCATCTTCGCCTTCTAGCAACCAAACACATGGAACATCATGGAAACACATCTGGTTCCCCCCACCTTCTCTAAGGCCTTCAACTGTCTCTGCACCTGCTGCTGCTCCTGCAGACTAAGAGCAAGTTGTTGAGCATGACCTTGGCACCAACACAACTTTGGATGGTGAGATGATGGGTCATGCCCCATTCCTGCCACGGAATCCATGGGATCATCCTAGTGATGGATTTCTGGACACCCTGTCTGCAGCATCCGGGTTAAGCCTACCTGCCTGCTGGTCAGGAATGAACAGCAAGTAAATAAGACACCAGAAACATTATCCAGTATTCCTCCTCGCTTCCCAGTCTTCCCAGGTTTCATATAGGGAGCCAGGCCATTTTCAGAATCTTCTGGATTTGAGCTGTTCGAGTTCCTCTTGAAGGGTATATGTCACATTCAAGCAGCAGAAGGACAACATGCATCCTCTGCTCTCGCTTCGCAGACC